ACCTCTGATATTTGACCCCTGACCTCTGACATTCGACCCCCGACCTCTGACATTCGACCCCCGACCTCTGACATTTGAACCCTGACCCCTAACATCTGACCCCTGACCTCTGATATTTGACCCCTGACCTCTGACATTCGACCCCCGACCTCTGACATTCGACCCCCGACCTCTGACATTTGAACCCTGACCCCTAACATCTGACCCCTGACCTCTGATATTTGACCCCTGACCTCTGACATTCGACCCCCGACCTCTGACATTCGACCCCTGACCCCTAACATTTGACCCCTGATATTTGACCTCTAACATTTGACCCCTGACCTCTGATATTCGACCCCTGACCCCTAAGATTTGACCCCTGACCTCTGCGTTGGTGAAGCAGAACTTACAGATTTGACCGTCTGTTTGATGAAGTCCTTCCTGCTGCTCAGGTCGTGTTGTGGATATGTGTCAAACACCTGAAACACAGGAGGTCAAAGGTCAGGTCAGGTCAGGTGAGGTGAGACAGGTGGAACAGGTGTGGTGGTACCTTCTGGCAGATCTGCTTCATGGTCATCTCCTCCAGGTTGGCTTCCTTCAGCAGACTCTGAACTGTCTCCTTCAGCTGATCATCGCTTGGAGCTTTTTTTATTATCCTGATGAGAGGCTCGTCCTCGTCTGAGCTGTCCTCCACTGCAGGGACAGGGTCAGAGACAGAGACAGGGACAGGGTCAGAGACAAGGACAGGGACAAGGACAGAGACAGAGTCAGAGACAAGGACAGGGTCAGAGAGAAGGACAGAGACAGAGACAGGGTCAGAGACAGGGTCAGGGTCAGAGACAGAGACAGGGTCAGAGACAGGGACAGGGTCAGAGACAGGGTCAGAGACAGGGACAGAGACAGGGACAGGGACAGGGTCAGAGACAGGGACAGGGTCAGGGACAGAGACAGAGACAGGGTCAGAGACAGAGACAGGGTCAGGGACAGGGTCAGAGACAGAGACAGGGTCAGAGACAGGGACAGGGTCAGAGACAGAGACAGAGAAAAGGGTCAGGGACAGGGTCAGAGACAGGGTCAGAGATAGGGACAGGGTCAGAGACAGAGACAGGGTCAGGGACAGGGTCAGAGACAGGGACAGGGTCAGGGACAGAGACAGAGAAAAGGGTCAGGGACAGGGTCAGAGACAGGGACAGGGTCAGAGATAGGGACAGGGTCAGAGACAGAGACAGGGTCAGGGACAGGGTCAGAGACAGAGACAGGGTCAGGGACAGGGACAGAGACAGGGTCAGAGACAGGGTCAAAGACAGAGACAGGGTCAGGGACAGGGTCAGAGACAGAGACAGGGTCAGGGACAGGGACAGAGACAGGGTCAGAGACAGGGTCAAAGACAGAGACAGGGTCAGGGACAGGGTCAGAGACAGAGACAGGGTCAGGGACAGGGACAGAGACAGGGTCAGAGACAGGGTCAAAGACAGAGACAGGGTCAGGGACAGGGTCAGAGACAGAGACAGGGTCAGGGACAGGGACAGAGACAGGGTCAGAGACAGGGTCAAAGACAGAGACAGGGTCAGGGACAGGGTCAGAGACAGAGACAGGGTCAGGGACAGGGACAGAGACAGGGTCAGAGACAGGGTCAAAGACAGAGACAGGGTCAGGGACAGGGTCAGAGACAGAGACAGGGTCAGGGACAGGGACAGAGACAGGGTCAGAGACAGGGTCAAAGACAGAGACAGGGTCAGGGACAGGGTCAGAGACAGAGACAGGGTCAGGGACAGGGACAGAGACAGGGTCAGAGACAGGGTCAAAGACAGAGACAGGGTCAGGGTCAGAGACAGGGTCAGAGTCAGAGACAGGGACAGGGACAGGGACAGGGTCAGGGACAGAGACAGAGACAGAGACAGGGTCAGAGACAGGGTCAGGGACAGAGACAGGGTCAGAGACAGGGTCAGAGACAGGGACAGGGACAGAGACAGAGACAGAGACAGAGACAGGGACAGGGACAGAGACAGGGTCAGGGACAGAGACAGGGTCAGAGACAGGGTCAGAGACAGGGACAGGGACAGAGACAGAGACAGAGACAGAGACAGGGACAGGGACAGAGACAGGGTCAGAGACAGGGTCAGGGTCAGAGACAGGGTCAGAGACAGGGTCAGAGACAGGGTCAGAGACAGAGACAGGGTCAGAGACAGGGTCAGAGACAGGGTCAGGGTCAGAGACAGGGTCAGAGACAGGGTCAGAGACAGGGTCAGAGACAGAGACAGGGTCAGAGACAGGGTCAGGGACAGGGACAGGGACAGGGACAGAGACAGGGTCAGAGACAGAGACAGAGTCAGAGACAGAGTCAGGGACAGAGACAGGGACAGAGACAGGGACAGAGACAGGGACAGAGACAGGGTCAGAGACAGAGACAGGGTCAGAGACAGGGACAGAGACAGGGTCAGGGACAGGGTCAGGGACAGAGACAGGGTCAGGGACAGGGACAGAGACAGGGTCAGAGACAGAGACAGGGTCAGAGACAGGGTCAGAGACAGGGTCAGGGACAGGGACAGGGTCAGAGACAGGGTCAGGGACAGGGTCAGGGACAGAGACAGGGTCAGGGACAGGGACAGGGTCAGGGACAGGGTCAGAGACAGAGACAGGGACAGGGACAAGGACAGAGACAGGGACAGGGACAAAGACATGGTCAGAGACAGAGACAGGGACAGGGACAGGGACAGAGACATGGTCAGAGACAGGGACAGGGTCAGAGACAGGGACAGAGACAGGGTCAGAGACAGGGTCAGAGACAGGGACAGGGTCAGAGACAGGGACAGGGTCAGGGACAGGGTCAGGGACAGAGACAGGGTCAGAGACAGGGACAGGGTCAGGGACAGGGTCAGAGACAGGGTCAGAGACAGGGACAGGGTCAGAGACAGGGACAGGGTCAGGGACAGGGTCAGGGACAGAGACAGGGACAGGGTCAGAGACAGGGTCAGAGACAGAGACAGGGTCAGAGACAGAGACAGGGACAGGGACAGGGACAGGGTCAGAGACAGGGACAGGGTCAGAGACAGGGACAGGGTCAGGGACAGGGTCAGGGACAGAGACAGGGACAGGGTCAGAGACAGGGACAGGGACAGAGACAGGGTCAGAGACAGGGACAGGGACAAGGACAGAGACAGGGACAGAGACAGGGACAGGGTCAGAGACAGGGTCAGAGACAGAGACAGGGACAGAGACAGGGACAGAGACAGGGACAGAGACAGGGACAGAGACAGGGACAGA